TGTCGACTTGTTTTTTATCGAAACCTTGAAAAATAACAACGCCTCTTTGAACAGCGCCCATTCGTTCCGGTGCCACGAGGTGGAGAAATAAATTGATATGCCAAACTAATTCTAATAGTCTTCTAATTCTTGTAGTATTTTTATTTTTGTATTTAAATAGTTAAGAGGCCGTCCTAAATGTGACTGAAGAATGCAAGAGCCATGAACTTATCAATGGCAGGTGTCAAGTTCAAGTGTGCAACTCTCTAAAATTAATCATAGTATCAAAATGATAAATGATTTGTTCACTGCTGTTTCAACTCCATAATCAAGACATGCTCTGAGAAGTCCACAATCAACTAAGGTGACAACTAAGGAAGAGACAATGAATGTTCACCTTTTTATTTCTGAGCATCCAAGACGACTAACCTTGAGCCGTTAAACATTGATAATACCCTGTATGCTGAAGTGTGGGTGGCCTGAGGTCGACCATGCCTAGTAAAGAACTGTTGTTTGTGTAAACACCATGCAGAGGTGTTTTGAAATAAATTTTAGTGATGTAATGTATCATTCTTTGAACTGAGTTGCTGATGGCGGATGAAAGCGGAAGTGCTGCATGTTGAATAAGAAATGCTCTGTTGTGCTTTTAAGTTTATGTTAGATTCCACCTCCCACCTTCAAAAGTTGAGGTCCTGGGATTCCAAGGTCTCGCGGCATATGGATGTTTTAAGGTCCTGGGTTTCCAAGGTCTCACGACAAAAATGACAATGCAAGGTCCAGGATCCATCAAGGTCCCAGACCTTGGACTCTGCGAACCCTGGATCTCGGACCTTTTTGGGACCTTGGCACAAGTCTGCCTTTGACGTTGACCTCTCGAGGTCAACACATATATGTTTCGATGCGGACTGACGAAAGAATTACGATGCTACTTTTAGTTTTGACCTAGCTTGATTACTTCAAAAGTTATTCGTAAAAAACTGTGATCGCATCTAGAGCCGCTATTTTGACTATTTTCGACCCCTGAGACTGCTGAGTCAACCTCCGAAATGCGTCAAATGCGTCGTAGGACACACGCCATTGTTGAATGTGAAGCTGACTCGCCTATAACAAAAAATCCCGGCCTCAAACTAACACCAGCCAAATTACCCCACACCCCCGGCCAAATAACCCTGCTAGTGGGGCAATTTGGCGGCCTTGCAGACCTTTGTAATACGTCACAATTACAATATAAGTAATTACTCTATCATTTCAAGTTCACTGTCCAGTAAAGTAAAATGAATGCGACACCTGCCAGCGTTGAGAAAATGCAGAAATATGTCGTCAATATTAAGTTACATCGTTTTCTAAAAAAAAAAAACGGCCAAATTACCCCAACCTCCCCTACTTGGTCATCGGTTGACCTTCCGGTCCGGTCAATGACCCAAAAGTCGGGAAATCTGGACCTGTTAGAACGTCGTAAATGGTGGCTGCTATGCTTTTTTTTCGGGGTGCTGATCACGAGTATCATGTTATGATCATGGATGATGTCTTCATGCATTTAGGCCAGGTCGTGTCAGGTCAGGTCAGGTCAACCAGTAAGGGTTTTGCTGGGTATTCGTAGTAGGTGGCAACCGCCTCTAAAAGCTTCGTAACATGTTACGAAGGTGCCAAAACTGCTTCGTAAATGCTCAATGATTGCTAAATTCGAATTCAGCTAAAAAAAACTAGCCTAGAAACATGTAAAACTCGAGAAAGTGGAACGAGGTTATCAAAGGTCAGTGACCTGACCTGCCCTTCCGGTGACCTTGACACCCACCCTAATGCATGGGACCAGCATCATATCACATGTTTAAACGCTTGAAACCACAAAAGACTGCCAACGCGCGGCTAATGCGAGCCGACATACGCCGAATTGCAAAACCGACCAAACATGGAGGCATTCCACGATAGATCAACCAAAGCCGTACACCCTCATATTTTATTTTTTGCTTAAAATTGGTCTAATGGGTTGTGATGGGCGGGGAAGCCAGCTGTGCCAAGGATTTTTTTCTTCGAACAACGGTTTCCGAGATATAGCCTCAGGCAATTCCTGGAGGTCACGCTGCTACCCTATGTTTGGCGGCTTATAACTCAGAAACTATTGGTTTTCTATGGTAAAAACTTTATATCGTTCAACTCACAATCAACCAACAAACGTTTTGGCTGTCTCGGATTTTCGATTTTTGAAAATTTTGATCACGTGACATCTTGACCTTTTTTCGAAGAGTGACCTTGATATTTTCCCAACTGAAAGTCGCAATTTTGTCTGATGACGATTAAAGCCTTATCACTTGTCATTCATATGGGACAATAAAAAGTGGCTTTCGGCCTGCATTGACCTGAGATCAGGTCATTTTTGTGACCTGTCCTTTAAGTCAATGGCAGAAATATCGGCTACCACCGAATCTGACCGGTTCAAACGCATCTGACCGGTTCAAATACTTTTGAATCATGTTAAGTTAGGCTATTATTGATGGCACTGGTGCAGCTTTGTATCAGTGACCCGCTGAAAGGTCATCCGAGGTCACGCGTTGAACACACAATAATTTTCCGTTTTTGGCTGTACCTTTTGATCTAATAAAGAAACAGACGTAGAATAGGCGCCAATGCGTTTGCTTTCGCCTAGCGCCAGTTCGTTTTGAATTTCAATACCGATGACCTAAGGTCAGGTCAATTTCTTGACCACCCCATTATAAGTCAATTGGGGAAAAATCAGTTCCCTTATTCTTACACTAAAACGCGTCGGAATTGCCTAATATACCATGAGTGACTTCATATACGACTAACTTTGACTACCTTAAAACCTTTTTTTGCTCTTGGTCAATTGTGACGTTGCTCTTGGGTCATGTGACGTCATTAACCCGCGCCGTGCTGGGGGGGGGCGTTTTTACGCCCCCCCCTCAGGTTTTTCGCGAATATCTCAAAAACGGCGGCGCGCAGCGCCGCCGTTTTTGGTACACGTGTTCCTACATCATTTCCGCACATGTTGTGAAAATTTCAGACCTAGGCCGTTCAAGGTCAGGTCACCAGGTCACGTCAAGTGACCTTACCTCAGAAAAAGTTCAAAGGCTCGCTATAGCTACACCGACTGAACGATCACTTTGAAACTTTCAGCGATTGATATGAGTAACAGTATGTATAAAATGTATATCTCGGATTTTTTATATCTGTGACCTAAGGTCAGGTCAATTTTGCGACCTCTCCATTATAAGTCAATGGGAGAAAATTGAAATGCGCCTCTTTTGGACGAATATCGTTCAAAACGCTCTCAAACATCGGTTCATAGGTAAACATGACACACTGAATAGGAAAAATGCACCTGTGACCCCTCTGTGTGCCCCTGAGGTCATCTCAGGTCATGAACGGTCGCCAGCAGTTTTTTGGCTATAACTTTTGATAGAGACGTGCTAGAGCGGTGAAAACACGTCAGATGTGTTCAGCTCGACGATACGGATCGACTGATATGCAACATGACCCTTTTCGGTCAGGTCATGACCTTGACCTGAGGTCAAATTTTCAAAATGACCTTTCAAGGTCAACGAATAGTTCATTCGACGCGTCTCGACGAGAGGAACACGATGCTGGCAAAAGTAATGTCATGGCGCTTATGAGTCAAAAGTTATTGACGAAAAAACGTTTTTCGTAAAAACGGCTATTTTTGGAGTTTTTGCCCTCTGGAGGCTAAACCGTTGACCTGAGGTCAAATCTGAGAACATTACTCAGAAAGGTCTGTAAAAGGGCTATCGAATGCGCTTTTCCGCGGCGCTGTAGCTCTATCGGTTCCCGAGATAGCCGTTGGCAGTTTCCAAAATGTTGAAATAGTCAACATTTTACCTTTGGTGACCTCTGGTGACCTGACCTTTGACCTGACCCAAAAAATGACCGAAGTGTTTTCGTCCTTATTTTTGACGCTCTTTCGATTGCCGCTTACCGCGTGTCGCTACGTGGCCCAGGAGCCGAGTTAGACGGGGGGGCGTGAAAACGCCCCCCCCCCAGCACTCGGCGGAAAGTTCAGGCCACCAGCACGGCGCGGGTTAAAGGTCACCAAATGTTTTTTTTTGCTAATAACTCCTTACAGGTTTGAGATACAGCCGCACGGATAGGCTCATTGTGTTCAGCTCGTCATGGCCCATCGAATGATATATATGATGACCTTAAGGTCACGTGACCTAAGGTCAACTTTTGACCTTGACCTTTCGAGGTCAACATACATATGTTTCGATGCGGATCGACGAGAGGATCACGATGGTGCTATTAGTTTGTTCCTAGCTGGGATACTTTGAAAGTTATTCGAGAAAAACTTCATATATATGTAGTGCCGCCATTTAGACTTTCTTTTTACCCCTGTGACGTCACCTTTGACCTGACCTGAAAATGACCTGAGTAAAAATTGTAGACCTTATCCATGTGTACCCTGTGCCGTTTACCGCTTGTCGCTATCTTGCTTTGTTCTCGAAATTTCGCTGTCGCTCCCGCTCGTAATAATGGGAAGGTCATAAAAATGACCTGACCTGAGGTCAACGCAGGCCTAAAGCCACTTTTTTATTGTCGCATATGAATGACAATTAATAAGGCTTTAATCGTCATCAGACAAAATTGCGACTTTCAGTTGGGAAAATATCAAGGTCACTCTTCGAAAAAAAGGTCAAGATGTCACGTGATCAAAATTTTCAAAAATCGAAAATCCGAGATAGCCAAAACGTTTGTTGATTGATTGCGAGTTGAACCATATAAAGTTTTTACCATAGAAAACCAATAGTTTCTGAGTTATAAGCCGCCAAACATAGGGTTGCAGCGTGACCTCCAGGAACTGCCCGAGGCTATATCTCGGAAACCGTTGTTCGAAGAAAAAAATCCTTGCCACAGCTGGGTTCCCCGCCCATCAAAACCCATTAGACCAATTTTAAGCAAAAAATAAAATATGAGGGTGTAAATTTTATTCTTTTTTGGTCGATCTATCGTGGAATGCCCGGGTTTCGAAAAGTGGCATAAATGTTACTGACCTGAGGATGACGGTCCGGGCGCAGGGGAAGCCGCAGGCTCCCCAGACGTCTCCGAGTGTACGGTCAGCTCCCGGGCCGAGTCGTCTCCGTAGTACACCAGCAGCTCTGAGCCCCTCGGGATGGGCTTTGATGTCCTGTAATAGTCAACAACACAAACTCAAAACCTATTGCTGATTTGGCATACTCATGACTCATGCACCAGAAAAGTGGTCATCAATCACTTTAAAAAAGTATACTCGTAGATAGATTACAACCACAAACAAGTTATCAACCACTAAGTAGAACACACAAAATGCAGAGCGTAACTAAATTTATTAGACAACATACCCGTATTATATTTCGGCGCCCATTTTAACACACCTGAAGTATATCTGGCCCTTGTGCTGGAAGGCGACTAGGTTTTGTTCTTCCTCCGAGCGGGCACAGTTGACCCTTCTGAGCCAGTTGCTGCAGCTCGGGTCCTCGGCATTCACCGAGTGATGAACACGGTCACCCTTCTTGACCTGTAGAAGAAAAAAAAAACAGAACGCAAATTAGATACATAAGATGCAAAAGTACGCCTTTGTGAAAATGTAATGCAATTCAAACGATATCATTACACGAGCGATGAACCAGTATAATGCTTCCAATAGAAGAAAAAGCAGGCATGAATTGAGCCAGCATTCAAATCCAATACGATGGCAATTGATTCAACACAACTAACTGCTCAGGTGCGGCTGACGCATTAAATTGTGTAAGCTTTCTATGATTCTATGAATGTATCAAAATACAAAGACAAGAACAAAATAAAAGAATAAGTGTGAAAACGCACACCCACGTTTTTATAGGAAATAGGCGTTCTCCTCACCTGCGCGAAAACGACTATTAGGCATTCTGGCGTGTTTCTAACACAGTTTTTTTTAACTTTTGAGAGATATGCGTAAGAAGTGGCGCAGTATTTCCCGCTTGACAACAATCACAACAACACTAACCTTCCACCTGTACCCAGCGGTTCCAGTCCGTGGTTCGTCGGTGGTTAGCGTGCCCTCGTATGGGCCGAATCTTTGGCGGGCCGGAAGGTTCTTCTCTGCCAAAACTCCTGGAATTATACGAAAGCATAACAGAAGCTCACCTTAAGGGGAGCAAAAAATGAAATGGTGGAACTTAAGTGTTACTATATTATCATCATCAGCGTAATAGCCACGTTTCCATTACACAAGTTAAGCCCATTTTTCAAAATGGATTTCCTCAGGCTCAATCAAATCATTTTGCCATCATTTGAAATTATAATTATAATATTAACCCTCGCCCGTATTGGTGTTTTTCCAGCCGCGAACGTATAAGGGGGGGGGGGGGTCCGTTGGACCCCCCCTTGCCGTTTCGCCCCTGATCGAGCTAGAGCTTCGCGGAAAAAACGAGCGTGTTGCCCGTGACGAGAGGAAGCCGATGATACCCAACTTTAAGGTCCTAGGTCATTGGTTGACCTTGCAGGTCAGGTCAATGACCCCAAAGGCGGGAAAATCGGGACCTGTTAGAACGTCGTAAAGTGTGGCCGCAATGGGGTTTTTCAGGGTGCTGATCACGAATATCATGTTAGTTTTGATCACAGATGATGTCTTCATGTATTTAGGCCAGGTCAGGTCAGGTCAGGTCAGGTCAACCAGCAAGGGTATTCGTAGTAGGTGGCAACCGCCTCTGACAGCTTCGTAACATGTTACGAAGGCACCAAAACTACTTCGTAAATGTTCATATGGTTGCTAAATTCGAATTCAGCTCCAAAAACTGGCCTAGAAACATGTAAAACTTGAAAAAGTGAGCCGAGGTCATCAAAGGTCAATGACCTGACCTGACCTTCAGGTGACCTTGACACCCACCCTAATGCATGGGGGCAACATCATATCACATGTTTGAACGCTTGAAACCACGAAAAGACTGCAAACGCGCGGCTAATGCGAGCCGACATACGCCGAATCGCGATTCCAGCCAAACATGGTCGCGAAAAGTAGGTCACAGGTCAAAGGTCATTTGGGTCAGGGTCATGAAATTTTCAGGGTAGGTGTGAAATTGATGAACGCGAGGGTACTGAAAGTTTCGTCGCGATCGGCCGCTTTTTACGCGAGTTATTCGCGAAAAACCATGGGGGGGGTCCGTTCGACCCCCCCCCCCCCCTATACGGGCGAGGGTTAAGTGCTAGCTTAAACCATTAATAGTTTGTTTGTTGGGGGTTTGGGGCCATTAATTAATCATTGAACCATTCATAGTATATGCTCATTTTTTGCATAAGTTGAATAGTATCCGAGAACACGCACATGAAATTTCGCTAAATCGATTTAGACGTGTCATGGAAACGTAGTGATTACATATGTCAGCAGTAGAAATAGTGTGCAATACAAGACCGTATATAGGGTGCAAGTGCAATGCGCGTGACTTAAGATTGGTGCGGGACATAATTCCACAGCTTATTTTTGCGCTGAGTATTGAAATGATGGATCCACCTCGTAAATACTGCTAATATCCTTACTGGGATGAACACGCCGAGACCCTCCCAACAGTTAGCAGCATGCATACTCCCAACAGTCTTATATGATGTGCATTGTGCAATGCTGTTGTCTTAACCCGCGCCCCGCTGGGCTATTCAGCCATACGCGCCCTGCTGGGGGGGGGGGGGGCAGATTCTGCCCCCCCCCCCTGTCTAACTTCCGAACCGATGGTCGTAGAAAGACGGGGAAAACGGCAATCGAAAGCTCTCAACAAGGCGGACCTTAAGAGCCCAAAATTTTTTGCTTAAGTAGGTCAGAGGTCAGGTCAAGGTCAGGTCAAGGGTACAAAATGCAAGTTTCTACAGTATCGGCCTTGCACCGTAGTTGCCGAAGAATGGACTGAGACTGATTGCCCAAAACGTGTTCTTAGACTACCAAGACAATATTCGTTGCATACAATGTCATTCAAAGGTCAAGGTCAAGGTCAGGTCAGGTCAGGTCAGGTCAGGTCACCAAAAACAAAATATAGAAAAGGGCATGTGCGACACATGTTTTATGGGTCATTTTACTCATAGAATTCAATAGGCACACTCAATAAGTGATATGGACCACCTCTGGATGAATTTCAGGTCGAGGTCAGGTCAAGGTCAGGTCAACTGAGGTCAAATTTTGAAGTTGGTTGTTAAGGCCCAAAAAGGTGTCTATCTGATGCAGTTTTTCACGACGAATCGAGTGGTGCTATTTTTGTTTCCGTACGAGGTCTAGAACTTCCAAAAAAATCATTTTTCAAAAATTTTGTGTGTCGTGACGTCATAAAATTTTGAATAACTCCCACATTTTTGCACCGATTCTTCTAAAAATTGGTATGTAGATGCACAATGACCACTTCTCTGACAAATATTCCGGTTTTTTTCCGATACACTCAAAATATTGGATTTTATAACTATTTTCTTTAAAAAAAATCAGTTTTTTGAAAAAATTTGGGCCAAAATCCAGAATTTCCAAAAAAGACGAGATAGCCATTTGATAGACAACGTGGAATCACGTATAACCTTTTTTGCTACGTCTTGATTCCTTTAAAAATGAAGATGTTAGCGGCGCTTGAAATTTTGCCGTTTTTGCGGCGAAAATGGCGAACATGACGTCACTAAAACGTCAATTTCTCAAAAAATTTCCGACTGATTTCGTTCAAATTTTCAGGGAACGTGTCAAATTGATGTATGATAAGGTACTGAAAGTTTGACGTCGCTGGCATAATGCGTTTAGAAGTTATTGGCGAAAAACGGGAGGGGGGCAGATTCTGCCCCCCCCCCCCAGCGGGGCGCGGGTTAAAACTGATGTCTTACCGGTGTTAGGTCCCGAACTGAGAGATTGCGGCAGAGTCTTTACGTCCCTTTCAGGATCTCCGATGCCGGGTCGTGCCTGGAATATAGTTATGGCGTGTAACGCAAGTGATGCGGACCATCCGTGATACTAATCTTGTGCTAGAGACCTTGTGCTAGAACTTCGCTAAAAAAAAAAAAAAAAAAATACCATAAGCCCTTACGAGACGCAGCGACTGGTACCTACCTAGTTCACAGCTTAGGTCAATCGGTGACCTCTTAGGTCACATCAAGGGTACCCAGGTAGGGGTCCGGTTGATCTGCCAAAAACGATTCGCCTTTGCAGTACACTTTATATACACCGGCGCCTTTCCAGACTAGCTCACTAAATCTAGTTTTGAGTACTAAAATTACCTTAAACGACCTTAGTGACGTCATATGAGACGTAACGCAAGGTCCACAATACAAAACCTATGACTTATGTTATGCATGCATTGCAGTCAATGTACCGAAAGTGCGTCAAAGCCCGCCATTATCTCATCTCGCTCTTTTAAGCGCCTAGATCACCCTGCACTGTATCACGACTTACTCGATGTCGACTGGGATTATGTTTTCTCTGCCGAAACCGTCAGTGACAAGTGGCATGCTTTCTTGTCGTTCTTCGTACCTGTTTTTGATGTCCATGCCCCAAATAAGCGTGTGTCTATCCGTAACCCGACCGCTCCTCCCGTGTCCGCCGCCACCCGTAACCTCATGTCTCAACGTCGCGCTGCGCTTCGCCATCTAATCTAGGCCGCAACTCGAGCGAATACAGAGACCTAAACCGCTCAGTCCGGGCAGCAGTGCGTCGAGACAGGCGAGTAGAGATACGGAGGGAAATTGGGGAGCGGGGCCCCAACAAAGTTTGGCAATGCATCAGGTCAGTGGTAGCCGCGAAGAAGGACGGCCCAAACGTCCAGCCCGATCTATCTGCCGATGATTTAAATTCATTTTTTGTATCTGTCGGTCCTCGCGTCGCTTACGAGATCCGAGCCCAAAACGCTCCCACCGATTTGGATGTGCGTCTCACCCGTGTCGGCGCATGCAGTTTTCAACTTCGTGAGATAACACTGAGGGAGCTCGAGCGGATTATTTTCAGCATGCGTAGCTCGAGTGCCTGCGGCTCCGACAACGTCTGCCTCCGCATGCTGAAATTCGGATTCCCCGCTATTGGTGGCGTCATCTTGCATATTATCAATACCTGCTTAATCCAATCTGACATCCCCGATTCATGGAAACATTCCATAGTTCACCCTCTGTTCAAGTCCGGTAACCCTTCAGACCCCGCAAACTTCCGACCCATATCCCTAGCTCCTGTAATCATGAAAGTAGTTGAACGCATTGTCCATCAGCAGCTCTACGCCTACCTCTCCCATAATCACCTTCTGGCATCCTCCCAGCACGGCTTCCGCCCCCGGCACTCCACGGAAACCGCGTTGCTGTCCGTCACTGAACACATCCTGGCCGCCACTGATAGGGGGGATTTGTCAATGCTATGCCTTCTTGATCTCAGTAAATGTTTTGACGTGATTGATCACGATCTTCTGATGCAAAAACTAGTGCTACACGCAGTGTCCCAAAATTGTATTTTGGCTTGGGTGTCAGAGAGGAAAATAACCCACCAAAAAGGGGGGATGAGAGTGGATAACTGCCAGTTGGGTTGGGTCAAAAAGAGTGAAAAGTGACCAATGAAGTGTTGTAGGATGTCAAACAGAGCATCGGCTATGCAATCGCTTTTTCTATGTAATACTGAGTGGCAAATTGCTCTTGAAAATTGGTGATGAGAGTGGAAAATGAATTTCATTTGGATGTCGTTTCCCACCCAAATCGACAAATTCTGGCACACTGGCTACACGGCATTGAAATTTCCTGGTTCGCCGCCTATCTACATGGACACACTCAGAGCGTGTCTTTGAAAGATGTATCCGGACGTACAGGGTGCGGAAAAAGTTCTGTCATATCTCCGCATTTCCACAAACAAATGCAACCTGAGCAGCTATATTTAATAAAACCACCAAACACTGGTTTGCCACATCTTACCACATGCTTTCACTCCCCCCTCACTCAATATAACCCCCCTCAGCGGTGATGACCTTCTCCACACAGGGGTTAAAAGACTAGCATGTCTTGAAGATGTAGGCGGGGTCCATCGCCTCCCACGTCTTCACGATGTGCGCCTCGATAGCCTCCACATTAGGATGGGACACTCCCTGGACCTCCTCCTGCAATACGCTCCAGATGCCGTAGTCGAGGGAGTTCAGGTCGGATGACTGAGGAGGCCACATCTCCCTGCGCCAGAAATGGGCCTCCCCGAGCTCTTCCGTCAGCTTCTGCTGGGTGGAACTTGCAGTGTGCGCGGGCGCTCCGTCCTGCTGGAGCACAAAATTGCCGAGTGGGTAGGTCTTCAGGATCCATGGGATGACGTCATTGTTCAGCAGACGTTCGTACACCACCCTCTTCACCTTCTCATTAGCATCAATGAAGAGCATCGGGCACTTCTTGCCGTCCGAACCCACCACGCCGAGCACCATCACCTTGTGTGGATGTTTATTCACCTGATTGAATCGAACCATCGGATCGACAGTCTCCCCCTTGGTCTCCCCTGCTCGTATTTTGGCTTTAATGCGCATGACTGTTCGCCAGGTGACTCCACATTTTGCCGTAACCTGCTTATCAGTCATGCCCGATTTGGCCGCCGCGCGCAGGCACCCAGCGACGAGGCGTCGTTTAGCCTGCCTTTTCATGACTGACCGTGAATGGCTGGTAGTTTTTGCCCTCCGGCCAGGTGGCTAGGTCACCGAAGGTCACGCCTGCGGCTATTCGCTGCCCAGAACTCAACCGCAGCGCTCGTAGGCGAGATTAGCATGCATATGACAGAACTTTTTCCGCACCCTGTATAGTGCTGTCTAAGCCTCTTTCTAATGCCATGGGCGTCTTCCAGGGCTCTGCGTCAGGGCCGCTTCTTTTCACGATTTTCTCTAACAACTTATCGCTATACGCGGGCGACGCAAAAGTGTTTCAGTATGCCGATGACACTCAAGTATTCGTTAGCGGTCCAGCTCGGGACCTCGCAGTTCTCATCTCGCGCATGGAGGACTCGCTCGCGTCTCTCAACGACTGGTTTTGCGCTAACGCCCTCAAAGTGAACGCAAGTAAAACACAGCTTATTGTATTTGGCAGTCGTCAAAATCTACGTAAATTACCAGACTTTAGAGTACCATTCCGCGATGCAGCGTTGCAGCCGTGCGCACAGTTGGGGAACCTTGGCGTCACTTTCGACAGCACTATGTCATGGGACGCACACGTCTCCGAACTCTGCCCCCGGTGTACGGGACTGTTGATTGGTCTTTCACACGCGCGCCACTGTCTCCCAGATGGCATCATTCGAACGCTCGTGACGGCACTCGCAGTATCGCGTATCCAGTACTGCCTTTCAGTGTATGGTAATGGGTCAAAAAAATTGATCGACTCCAAAAAAAATATTAATTTCGCCGCTAGAGTTATTTTCGATCGCCGTAAATTTGACCATGTCTCCGACCTGCGAACAAAACTCGGGTGGCTGTACCCGCGCGGTATGTCCGATTTCCACACCCTTGTCATCGCACACAAGGTCATGCAGCGCCGAGAACCCGAGCAACTAGCAGCCCTGTTCGTCGCTAATAGCGCTATTCGCGAGAGACAATCCAGGCAAGATCACCCCTTTCATCTTCCCCGTCCGCGGCTGGAAACGGGCAAGCGGCGGTTCGGCTATCGAGCTGCAGCTCTGCTGAACAGCCTGCCACCTCACCTGTCGCAGCTGCCTCCCGCCCGCTTCGCCCGCGCTGTTAAAGCCGCAATCGTGGACGATGAATCAGCACATCGTCGCTGACCAATAGGGTGGGGGTGGCTAAGAGCGATGAGGCTGTCCTGAGTGTTTTCAGTTTTGTCCGTATTTTGACGTGAGTGAATGTGCAAATGTTTTGAATGATTAGATTAGCAACCGCGGATACGGATTCTGAGCAGTAATCGCCACGCACTTTGTATGTGGATCGCTCTTAAATATAAATACAATACAATAAAGTTGCTAGTCGGAGCTGCCGTCCCTTACCTTAGTGTCGTGTACGACCTCCAGCGGACCATGGACGAGACATTCTCCGTCCCGATCACGGCAACACAGCTCACAAACTGCCGGAAAACAATACAGATTCTTCACGGCTTGAATATTAAGATATGCAAGCTGTATTGGCTATAGCAATCACTGTCAATAGCAAATGTCTACAGCTCTTTATACGAAGACTGTATTCGTGACGCTTAATATTTTATTAAACTGTTATAACCTCTTAGTTCTGACGTGAGGACCATCAAGGAAATTAGGTGTTTGTTAGTTGAGCAAGGCCCAACCTGAAACTCAATTCAATTAAACCTGACAAGTAGAAGGTATAGCAAGCGCCGTCAAGATCAGACAAGGCAATATAGAAAAGCGCTGGTGAAAAAAAAAAATATAAAAGAGTGCAACGTAAAATGCAATGGTATGTGCAAGGTATAATTGAAACATGTATTTCATTTCATTAAACAATACTCACATATGTTGCCATCATCGAGACCATCCACGTCCCGATAGTTTATGACGAGACGTTGGCTCTTGATGAACTCTCCTTCGGCAAAAACTGCATAAAGCAAAAAAAAAAAACAAGTGCATTTACTACGTAGGTAAGCAATGCACGTCATATTTTCGTCGTTCGGGTTTCAACAAATTTTCGTAGTGCATTAATCTTAACCTGCAAACTGCTGGGGGAAGGGGTATTATTCGCCGCGCTATAGCTAAAAAACGTCGCGCAGCAGGACGTGCGCCAAATTTTGGGTACCTGTAGGAAATCGATTGAAGTTTATTGTGACAAAGTTTTAGAAAAATCAGTCATAATTTTTTTTAGACATTAAGGTTTTAGTGACATCATGATTTCTGAGTATTCGACCAAAAACGGCACATGTTCAAAAAAAATCACAGAAGAGACATAGAGACATGTCGTAAACGACATTAGACTGCCAATGCCATGAATAATAAAATAGCTATCTTCGAATATTTCATTATCGTTCCACGTTTTCCAAAATCCTGAACTGAATCTTGGCAATTTCTCGTGACTACTTCACGACTATGATGCATGCATTTCTTAAATTCATCTTTTTCAACCAAACACGTACTCTTATGATAAAATGAATGTCACCATCGTGTTCAACGCCTAAAGTTGACCAACAAACATCTGTCATAGACTGCGAATACCAGTTTTGATTTCGGGGATATGTGCTTACCTGATTGACCTGACCTTGACCTTGACCTATGTTTGACTGACCACTACATAGATCTGACACACTTGTAGCACTTATATGGAGGATTGTGCACGGTTTTGACAGAGTTATTGACGAGAGGCGCCCATTACGAGATTCTGTAGTCCATGCTATCGAAAGCCCGATTTCAGGGGTTTGACCCGACTTTGACCCGACCTGTAACCTCAAAAGTCACAGGTCGTTTTTTTTATTTGCCGCCTGTGAGTTTCCCTGCGCCTATTGGTTCTCGAATAACCAATACGCCCCCCCCCCCCCCCAGCAAACGGCGGGTGACGAAATACCTCAGCAACTGCCGGGTTAAAGGTAGTGTGCCACCTTTGAAAGATTTCCCATTTTATTTTTCCTAGGATAAGAAGCTTCTGTTTTTACCTAATTTCGCAAAAAAAAAATCAAAAATGGGCCTGGAATAGTGCCTTTTTCGCCTAAAAGTTTATCGGTTTTTAGATATGTATAACAACTGTAGTGGGCTCACCTGCAAACAGGCGTCGGCAACAATCGCGAATGCGGCGCACATGTGACAATAAGCAAAGGTCATTATAGTGTTACGACCATACGACGTACGGGAATGAGTTATCAGCTGTCTAATCGTAGACAACACAATGTCGAGCCTTAAACTGTAAGCCTGTATTGGTATTGTTTCTTTTATTTGGCTGTCGAACATTATTTATGATTTGAAATATGATTTTATGTAAAATAATTGATATGAAAAAGCCGTCTCATAAGTTATGACCCCATTTCTTCACCACACGCAAGTGGCAGAAATGACAATGATCAGCTGACGCATTTTTCTTGGCCGAAGTCAGAGCGCGCAGCCCGACGCACCACCACACCACCGCACCACAAAGTATGAGCAGAAGCCGCGCCCAAAGCCAGGGCCCCGGTAACGTGAGGTAGCCGAGTCGGGGCAGCGTGCGCTGACCCAAGCCGGAGCCGCAGCTTTGGGCGCGGTCTACCGCATCCCCGCGGGCAGCCCCGGGCTATCACATGACACCGGGAGGACGCGCGGCTCCGGCTTGGGTCAGCGCACGCTGCCCTGACTCGGCTACCTCACGTTACCGGGGCCCTGGCTTTGGGCGCGGTCTACCGCACCACCTAACAGGCGTGTTCTAAACCGCAGGAGCTGATGATGAACGGGTTTATCGAAACTTGATTGGATGAGCATATCGGTAATAGCGATTTCAGTGTGTGCATTTATTGTTCATAGTGGTGTGAAATGTGGTTGGGGTACGACCGACAACCCGTCGGGGCGAATTTCGCACTGGGGTACTCAAAATTTGAAGAATTTAAGACGTTTCCATGAGTTTTGAATGTATGGATAAGTTCTAAAAATCCGGTTCTCCTTATCTGGGCCATTAACTCCATACGGTTCAGGAAAGCTGGCACACTACCTTTAAGGAACAAATAAGCAATAAGCATGCTGCCCTTTGCCAGAATTTCGGAAATATAACATTGAGCTTATTCAGAAATGCCACCAATACCGAACAGACTGACTATAGTAACTTTCGATCTCCACTTACTTTCTACAGTGTTTTGCTTGTCTGACGGCAGGTAGTCCGATAGCAGAATGGTCTTGGCATTGGAGATGAAGCAAGCACTGCAAGAAAAAAAAACAACGTTATTAATTACCAGTATAAGCATTTAACAAAAACTATCCACCGGTATCGAACACTAAAACTCATCAGTATTTGCCTTTTTACAATGGCCTTTGCTTAGGAAGAACCTCGGTTGGATTCCTCCAGCCGTTTCGTCCATGCTTGTGCTCGAGCTTCGCAAAAACACGGAACGTGTTTCTCGTGGCGATTCTACCGAACTTAAGGTCAGTAGTTGATGTTTCAGGTCCGCTCAATGACCCCTACCTTCCCTGATTTCAGCTTACCCCTCGCACTAATGGGGGGGTCGAACGGACCCCCCCCCCCCCTCCTAAGGTTTTCGCGAGTAACTCGCGCAAAAAGCGTCCGATCGCAACGAAACTTTCAGAAATCTCGAGTTAACCCGCGCCGGGCCGGTGCTCCGCGACTTCCGCGCCGGGCCGGGGGAAGGGGGGGTTTCTGAACACCCCCCCCCCCTCCTTCTAACTCAGCTCCTGGGCCACGTAGCGACACGCGGTAAGCGGTATTCGAAAGAACGGCCAAAATCAGAACGAAAACACTTCAGTCATTTTTTAGGTCAGGTCAAAGGTCAGGTCACCAAAGGTAAAATGTTGGCTATTTCAACATTTTGGACACTGCCAACGGTTAACTCGGGAACCGATAGAGCTACAGCGCCGCGGAAAAGCGCATTCGATAGCTCTTTTAACGCTCTTTCGCTAATATGCCCTCAGATTTGACCTCAGGTCAACGGTTTAGCCTCCAGAGGGCAAAAACTCTAAAAATAGCCGTTCTTACGAAAAGTGTTTTTCGGCAATAACTTTTGATTCAAAGGCGTCACGACATTTATTTTGCCAGCATCGTGTTCCTCTCGTCGAGACGCGTCGAATGAACTATAACTTGACCTTAAAAGGTCAACTTGAAAATTTGACCTCAGATCAAGGTCATGACCTGACCGGAAAAGGTCATGTTGCATATCAGCCGATCCGCAACGTCGAGCCGAACACATCTAAAGCGTTTTCATCGCTCTAGCATGCCTCTATCAGAAGTTATTAGCGAAAAACTGTTAGATACTATTCGTGACCTGAGCTGACCTCGGGGACATAACGAGGGATCACAGTTGCCATTTTCCGGTTCAGTGTGTCAATTTTACCTGCATCTCGATGTTTAAGAGTGTCTAGAATGGCGTTCGTGCAAAACAGACGCTTTTCAATTTTCTCCCATTGTCTTATAATGGAGAGGCCGCAAAATTGACCTGACCTTAGGTCACCGATATCAAAATTCCGAGATAAACATTTTATAAATACTGTTGCTCTTATCAACCTCTGAAAGTTTCAAGGCAATCGTTCAGTCGGTGACGGTGAAGCTATGACGAGCATTCCTATTGTATTTTGAGGTGATGTCACTTGGCGTGACCTTGTGACCTGACCTTAGGCGACCTGGGCTCGAAATTTTCACAACATGTGCGGAAAAGATGGAAAACGGCGGCGCCCCGTGCCGCCGTTTTTGAAATATCTGCGAAAAACCGCAGGGGGTGTTCAAACACCCCCCCCCCCGGCCCGGCGCGAGTTAATCAATTTTGCACATTCTCTGGAAATTTCATGACCCTGACCCAAATGACATTTGACCTGTGACCTGATCCTCGAGACAATGTTCGGCCAGAATCGCGATTTGGCGTATGTCGGCTCACATTATCCGCGCATTTCCCGTTTTTTTTTTGTGGTCGTAAACACTCAGACACGTGAAGGTCAGGTCAAGGTCATTGATCTTTGATGACCCCGGTGCACTTTTTCGAGTTTTACACGTTTCTAGGTTAGTTTTCGGAGCTGATTTCGAATTTAGCGCCCATTTGAACATTTACGAAGCAGTTTTGATGCCTTCGTAACATGTTACGAAGCTGTCACTGGTGGTTGGCTAGCGCGCTATCCCGCGCTAGCATATATGCTCGTTGCCCCGGCAACGGACTATTGTCCAATGAGCAGCGAGGAAAGTGTGACGTCACGTGCGATTTTTCATATATAGCCGTGCCCCTGCATGTGACGTAGCGTGCTCGCGCACGTGCAGGGTTTGTGCGATCCAAAAAGCTGCGTTCGGACCAGCCGTTTTCCGCGTGGAATTTCCACGCCAAGGAATTTTTCACGAAAACGGTCGTTCGGGCAGGTCCGTTTTGCGGGATCCCGTGGGATGTTTCACGATACCAAAACGACTGTTTTCGTGTGGAATTTCTCAGCGTGAAAATTCCACGCAAAAAACGACCCACCTGAACGCAGGCAAAGAGCACTAGCAGCGCACCACTTGCCGACGCATTTCACAAAAGCGGCGCGTTAGCATGCTCATCCCTTCTATTGTTGTTGAAAGTTGAGTTCATGTTTTATGGTTGCAACTTGCAAGAATGGTTGAAATTAATGGCAAAAAATGTGTTACTTGTATTTCCGTCGACAGGAATTTTTATCGTAAAATATTCGGTCCATTGCAATGGCATTTACCGAAGATTCTTTCGTAGGTAATATTTTTTTTAAATAAATTTAGTCCGAACCTTTTGAATGGAAGGATTCACAAGGACAGAGCCCCCGCTAAGCCGAGCTTGTTGCGATGGCCCTACCCTCCACCCTCCGATCGCGCAATTCCTGGTCTATGGCAGAATTTAGAGTCCAAGTTTAACGTGCGCACATAGCCGCGCACGGCCGGACCCCTCACTGAGTTCGCCTGGTTACGGCCTGCCACCAACGGCAACCATACCCGCCAGAAGGCTCATAAACATCGAGCGCCCGTCGCGCTTCGAACCCGGACTGTCATTACCGGGACGCGAGCTCTCACCTCGCGGAGTCCAACGCTCTACAGTCTACCGACTGAGCTACTGGACCGGCAAAAATGACAGGCATTTAACAATTTGAGCGGCGAGTAAGCCTCAATAAATAGAAATAAATGTAGCAAAGCCAACAGAGACGATGCAACGATTATTTGAAATAAGCAAATCTCTCAAGATCCCTCATTGAGCGGGCCGCTCAACATACTACCGTGCCGTGCATGCCACGAGGACTTCGGTTAGCGTTCGGCTCATACGCGAGCCGACGCCATCGCCTACGAGTATGACGTCAGCTCGCGGATTGCGTCATCCCCTGCTCACAAAATGCATGCACCCGAACAGCGCTCCAGCAATTCGCAAAAAAAAAAAAAAAAATGAAGGGGTGGGAGTAAATTCCATTGCAATAAAAACACACGCACACACACACGCTCATATTGTACTTACCTGTCCCGGTCAACCTCAGTGAACCCGATAAAGTCAAGAGGCGGTGTCGGCGACCGACACCGGAACTTTTCTTCCTCTTTAAGAGGCCGCGCAGTGTTGCATGAGAGAGGATCCTCGTCCGGCACTGACGGCGACTCCGGTCTCTCGTCCTGCAATGAAACAAAAAAACTCTTATATACAGCCTTTATTGTCACTCCACTGCAATGAACTGAAAATGGACCAGACATATGAGCAAGTCCACGGGATATTTTTTTTTTACATGTAAAGGAGAATTTGTCATACCAAGAGGCAGTAGGGGAAAATTGGGTATTATCGGACGGTCAACTTCAAGCCATCGTAACATGAAGGTTATCATCTTTATGTAACTGGGAGTCATTTAAATATACGTAGAAAGCCCAAAACTTTGTTTTTTGAAAGTCTGCTGAGGTTCCGGTGTTGCGTTGGAGCGCAGCGATTTTTTAACAAAAAAAGTTACTTGGGTATTATCAGACAGCAGCAGCAAATTACGGACGGGCGCCCAAATGGATCCCAAGAGTCTTGATATTGATATTGATCCCAGAGTAATGCGTTGGCTTCTTGCTCTTTCGAACGCCACCTTCCGCGCGTCGCTCCGTGGCCCAGGAGCCGAGTTAGAAGAGGGGGAGGGGGTTCAAACACCTTCCCCCATAGGGTAATATCGGATGGGTGTCCGATAATAGCAAACACGTAGGCCGTTCAAAATGCGCCAAAATGGGAGCAACAAACACATTGAACACAGGCAGTTACAACTTCTTTATCTCTGCGATAACAGGTAATTAATAAGTTGTATGGATGGAAGGACAAATGGTGATTATCATAAAAAAAATTATGACAGCCTAGCGGCAAACTGCCTGCGAGAGGAGGTGGCGACAAAGGAAATCCAGCGCTACCTTTTTTCCAAATAAAATATTTGCGTATGCACCTAGGGGAGAGTTCAGAAGATAGCTCCCTGTCCGATATTACCTACTGGCCTATATTACCCAACTTTCCCCTACGTACCATTAAGTTTACAAAATCATTAACTAAGTATTTCATATACCTACTCACCTTGATTGAAGTGACTTCAATTTTGACCTCCTTTGCAGCCACCAGTATGTCAGTATCATTAGAAGTGTCCATGACAGTAGAGTCGATCCCCCTCTCAGACTGCCTCGCACACCGTGTCACACTCAAGTCCTCATCCGCTGATTCTTCATGAGACCACTTTGGTTCGACCGGTGGCTCAGGTGGTGGCGTTGATGCTGCTTGCATGGCCAGTCGCGGTCTCACAGCCTGGTTGGATGTGCCCCAGTCAGTTCACATTGAAGTTCTGCAGGAATAAATCACTCATGAGTCATAAGAAAAGGTATAGATATGTAGGTAAAATTGGGCCAATGTGATGTGTTTTTCCATGGATCCAACCACACATGATTTATTAAAGGGACCCTCCCACCCACCTACGCATGCTGACAGGAGCTGACAGGAGCCAGGGCAGGGCAGGGCAGGGGAGGAGCCAGGGCAGGGCAGGGCAGGGTCGACAGAGGTCGACAGGGGTCGACAAAGGTCGACAAAGGTCGACAGAGATCGACAGAGGTCGACAGTGGCGGACAGAGGCGGACAGAGGCAGATATCAGCAGCACCAGCTCCTGAATAGGGAAGGGGAGTTATACAGGAGCTGACAGGAGCTGACAGGAGCCAGGGCAGGGGCGACAGAGGTCGACAGGGGTCGACAGGGGTCGACAGAGATCGACAGGGGTCGACAGAGATCGACAGAGGTCGACAGAGGCGGACAGAGGTCGACAGAGGCGGACAGAGGTCGACAGAGGCGGACAGAGGTCGACAGTGGTGGACAGAGGCGGACAGAGGGAGATATCAGCAGCATCAGCTCCTGAATAGGGAAGGGGAGTTATACAGGAGCTGACAAGAGCTGACAGGAGCTGACAGGACAGCTGACAGGAGCTGACAGGAGCCGACAGGAGCCAGGACAGGGCAGGGCAGGGCGGGCAGGAGCCAGGGCAGCGCAGGAGCCAGGGCAGGGGAGGGCAGGGTCGACAGAGGTTGACAAAGGAGGTCGTAAGAAGAGGTCAACAGAGGTTGACAGATGTCGACAAGGAGCTGACAGGAGCTGACACGAGCCAGGGCAGGGCAGGGCAGGGCAGGGTCAACAAAGGTTGACAGAAGAGGTCGACAGAGGTCAAAAAGGGTCGACAAGGAATGACAGAGGTGGACATGGTCAACAGGGGTCGACAGGGGTCAACAGAGGCTGACAGTTGCGGACAGAGGCCGCAGAGGCCAACAGTGGTGGACAGTGGCAGACATCAGCAGCACCAGCTTCTCACTGGGGAAGGGGGAGTTACAGAAACACCAGCAGCTCCAGCTGAGTCTCCAGCACCACCTGCTACAGCTGGGGATTGATGCACTAGTTCCTCACTGAACAGTGGACACATAACGGGAGGGAAGAATGTTGGGCACACTCAGACGGATCGGATCAGCTGTTGCGGATCATTTTAAGCAGCGGGCATATGGAACAAGATTGCTAAAATGCTTCAGCAGCCTTAGGCTCTGCATACCAGCAGAGTGGGCGGCTGACATCACCTGGGAATGACGCAGACAGAGCAGCTCTACATCTATGCTGCATGTGTCCGAGCTGCCCCCAATTCTAATTGACATTGGCCAGTTAGCTTTGACTGAAGTTCATCTCCATTTCAACTGCAGCAGATACCAAAAAGCAGAGGTAGGTGTTAAGTCTAAGCAGGCATTATACCTTACCTTACCTTACCTTATCGGTTATCGGGTAATAAGGCCACTAGGCCTGGAGGTCCCGCTCCCAACGAGCGTGTGTGACAGGTAAAGGCGAGGCTCTTAACCCTATTCCTGGCGGGGGGGCCTCAGGAGCCCCCCCCCCCTGAGGTTTTTTGGTGATTTCTCCCAAACGCGTTGAGCTAGGAAGCTCAAATTTTCTGACTTTTCCTAAAAGGCTTCTACGCAACATGTCTGAAAATTTTGAGTTGATCTGACCTCAGGTCAGGTCACCAGAGGCGGTTTGGTGACCCTACCTCAGAAAAGTTTGCAATCACGCCAGAGCTAGAGTTTTTGACCGATCAATTTCTTCTCTTCAGGCTTTAGTTAGGGTACCAGTATGTGCAATTTGTACATCTCGGAATTTTGATATCTGTGACCTAAGGTCAGGTCAGTTTCGCGACCTCCCCATTATAAGTCAATGGGGGAAAAATCAACTCCCTGTTTTTACCACTAAAACGGGTCGGAATGGCCCCATATACCATACATGACTTCATATACGATCAACCTTCACTACCTTGAGGTCTGTTTTGCTGTTGGGCAGCTGTGAGGTCATGTGACGTCATCAAAGGTCACCAAAGGTTTTTGGCCAATAACTCCGTACAGGAACAAGATACAGACGCGTGGATGGTCTCATTGTGTTCAGCTCGTCAAGACTCATCGAATGATATATATGATGACCTCGAGGTCACGTGACCTGAGGTCAACCTTTGAATTTGACCTTTCGAGGTCAACATATATATCATTCGATGCGGATTGACGAGAGGATCACGATGATGCCCTTAGTTTGTTCCTATCTTGACTAATTCGAAGGTTATTCGAGACAAACTCTCTCCATATCTAGCGCCGCCATTTTGACTTTTTTCGACCCCTGTGACGTCATCTTTGACCTGACCTGAAAATGACCTTAGTAAAAATTGTAGATCTTGGCCGTGCGTATCCGATGCCGTTTACCGTTTGTCGCTGCGATGTGTAGTTTTTGAGATCTGAAGGGGGGGCCGAATCGCCCCCCCCCCCCCGCCAGTTTCTTGTCCCGGCGGAGCCCGCCAGGAATAGGGTTAATGGTAGGGATTCGGGATGTCGTACATCCTGTTCGCCCAGTGTCGGTCCAGTCGTGCCTTGAACTGAACAACCGATGTGGCAGACACTACTGAGGACGGCAGGGCGTTCCAGTCGTTGACGACTCTTGTGCTGAGGGCGTTTCTTCGTGTCAGGGTGTTCGCTCTGGGCTTGAGCAGTTTCCACTGGTGGCCTCTTGTTTGGTTGGAGGTGCTCTTGTGCAGGAACCGTTCGGGTTCCACTGCCATCTCGCCGTGCAGCAGCTGAAAGACGGTGATCATATCGCCTCTGCGTCATCGGTAATACAGCGAGGGGGGGGGGGCGAAGATGACGTAGTCGGTCCGGGTACGGGAGATGCCGGATGCTCAGAACCATCCGGGTTGCCCTGCGCTGCACACGCTCCAGTTTTGCCTGGTCAACTCTGCCAAAGGGTCCCCAGATCAGGTTCCCATACTCCAGAAAAGGTCGGACCATGGACTTGTAGAGCAGAGGGAGAGTGACCTCATTGATGGTAGCGAAGGAGCGCTTCACGATGACGACAGCCAGCATCTGGGAGGCTTTCGCGATGGCAGCCGCTGTTTGCTGGTGAAACTTCAGGTCTTCGTCGATGATGATGCCCAGGTCCTTTTCCTCCGTTACTCCCTCGATGGCAGAGTCGTTCAGGTGGTAGGTTCTCCCAGGGTTGAGTCTGCCAATGTGCATCACTTTGCATTTTGAAGCATTGAAGGGCAGCAGCCACTTGCTCGACCAGCGGGCGAGCAAGTGGCTGCGGACAGCGATTATATTGGGATAAATTAGGACTTCATTTTGCATTGCACAGGTAGGTATGGGTACCTACCTTGACCTACATGATCAAGTAGATTTCTTGAAGAGGGTGTTATGAGGGCTTTAGGATCGACTAGGCAGGGCTTAATATGTTTCTTTGCAAAAATATGCAAAGGACTATCCTAGCGTATCAACAGAGCATGCAATCTAATGCACAGACCTCACCAAAGTATATAAATACACTCAACAACATTTTTTTTTTTAGTGGCCCTAACTTACGTTACTGGCCTCGCGAGGAGGGCGGCGACCTAACTACGCCGCGCAAAAGAAACCGGCCGTCCTAACTAAGACCAGTGGCCACTTTTACTGCAAGACAACATGGGAAAACCCATATCCATGTACTATGCCATGAATATGGGGAAAAACCCATGAATTTACGTTAAGATACATAAATGACAGTGAGACTTACCGTTAAATTGGTGTTTGTGAGGGGAGGGAAGGAGGAAGTTTGTGAATGGTAATTGGTAGGGTTACGATGTTACGATAAAAGTTGGATGATAGGAAAGGTTTGAAGAGTGGAGGATATGTCGCTGCCGCTGTTGAGGGCCGATTGTTGTACCCGGGCCTGTGGTCGCCCAAACCCGGCCGCTGCCGCTGTTCAGCGGCCGGGTCCGTGACTGAAGAATCTTTGGCCGCTGACAACTAATGGTCTTTTGCTTACGCGCCGAGATCGAAGCAAACGCGTCAGTCAAGATGCCTGGCGCCTGGCGGCCATGTTTGAATTAAACTTGTAATTTTATATATATATATATATATCTATATTTGAGTCGTGCCGTGCTTAGATTCTATTTTTGTTGACTATCAAAAGCAAAATTGTAAAACCAAAATTATTCCTACGAAATTTGAGATAGTCCCTAAACTGAAAAATGTTAACGACCGACGTCGAGCCCAAGGTCGAGCCGACGTCGGCATGTATATTTAATTATTTATTTTTTTTACATGGAATGATATATTTATTAATAAATATATATAATACATATATGTTTATAAATATATAATAATGATATATATATATATATATATATATATATATATATATATATATATATATATATATATATATATATATATATATATATATATATATATATATATATATATATATATATATATATATATATATATATATATATATATATATATATATATATATATATATATAATATATACATGCCGACGTCGGCTCGACGTCGGGCCGAGGTTGACGAGATCGTTTGTCGTTGGACCGACGGGGCCGACGTCGGCATGTTTATTGGGACAACGCGCCAAAAATATCAACCGGCGGCGGGATTCGAGCCCCCCAGTCGCCGACGTCGGCATGTTTACTGGGACAACACGCCAAAAGCATCAGCCGGCGATGGGATTCGAACCCCATGTCATTTGAACGCGAGGTTAGTGCGTTAAATATATATATAATATATACCCAGTAAACATGCCGACGTCGGCCCGACGTCGGGGTGACGTCGGCAACTCGGCATCGGCATGACGACGTCGGCCCGACGTCGGTCCAACCTCGGCACGACGTCGGCTGGATGTCGGATATGCCCGCATGTTGATGTACCGACGTCCATCCGAGCCAACCGACGTCGGGGCCGGGCCGACGTCGGACCGATATCAATTGCTGAGGTCCAGCCGACGTCGGGGCGACGTCGGACCGACATCGGCCGCTGTTTTGACCGTTAAAATAATATAAAATACATGTTTCATGTTTCATAAAGAGCTTCTGTATTCAAAATAATCTCAGGAAACTCAAATCTTCCTCCACGCCGCAACCCCCTAATCCGGACAGGACGGGAAACTTTATCCCATTTGGGATTACCCGTAAGCCGAGCTCGCCCGTAGCCGGGTGCGGTGAGTGCTTGGGGGCTGCTCGGCCTATCCTTTGGTCAGGCTCAGCCCCGGCAACTCACCAGGGCCGGGCCCAGTTCATATAGAAAGGCCAGTCGGCAAGTGTCACTTTGCCAAAGTGCCACTTATCAGAGGGACACTTTGGGAAACGTTGGTGCAGGTGTGTAAGAGTGGCATATATGAATCCATTGTGGGGTCGCCTTTTCAATAAGTGTCACGTAACAGCAATGGGACCAGGGACTCTATATGAACTGGACGCTGGGTGCTCGCCAAGAAGACCAATGTCTCCATCCTATCATCCCAGTAAACATGCCGACGTCGGCCCGACGTCGGGCCGAGGCTCGGCCCGATGTCGGCCCAACGTCGGTTCAACCTCGACCCGACATCGGCTGGACGTCGGATATGCCCGCATGTTCCGACGTCCAGCCGAAGTCCAGCCGACGTCGAGCCGACGTCAGGCCGAGGTCGTTTGCCGAGGTTGACGAGATCGTTCGTCGTTGGACCGACGGGGCCGACGTCGGCATGTTTATTGGGACAACGCGCCAAAAATATCAACCGGCGCCCGGCGGCGGGATTCGAGCCCCCCAGTCGCCGACGTCGGCATGTTTACGCCAAAAGCATCAGCCGGCGATGGGATTCGAACCCCGTGTCATATGAACGGGAGAATAGTGCGCTAACCACTACACCACGCAGCCAGACATCAAATTTACTTTGTTTTGTTGGGTTATGCCCTTTCGGTCCGACAAGACCATTTCAGAGCCGGAAGGATGATAGGATGGAGACATTGGTCTTCTTGGCGAGCACCCTGGGTCCAGTTCATATAGAGTCCCTGGTCCCATTGCTGTTACGTGACACTTATTGGAAAGGGCGACCCCACAATGGATTCATATAGCCACTCTTACACACCTGCACCAACGTTTCCCAAAGTGTCCCTTTGATAAGTGGCACTCTGGCAAAGTGACACTTGCCGACTGGCCTTTCTACATATATGAACTGGGCCCGGCCCTGGTGAGTTACCGGGGCTGAGCCTGACCAAAGGATAGGTCGAGCAGCCCCCAAGCACTCACTGCACCCGGCTACGGGCGAGCTCGGCTTACGGGCAATTCCAAATGGGATAAAGTTTCCCGTCCAGTCCGGATCAGGGGGTTGCGGCGTGGAGGAAGATTTGAGTTTCCTGAGGATATTTTGAATACAGAAGCTCTTTGTGAAACATAAAACATTATTCTATATTATTTTAACGGTCAAAACAGCGGCCGATGTCGGTCCGACGTCGCCCCGACGTCGGCCCGACGTCGGCTGGACCTCAGCAATTGATCTCGGTCCGACGTCGGCTGGACCTCGGCTGGACGTCGGAACATGCGGGCATATCCGACATCCAGCCGACGTCGTGCCGAGGTTGGACCGACGTCGGGCCGACGTCGGCATGCCGATGCCGAGTTGCCGACGTCACCCCGACGTCGGCCGACGTCGGTATATATATATATATATATATATATATATATATATATATATATATATATATATATATATATATATATATATATATATATATATATATATATATATATATATATATATAAATATATCATTCGATGCGGATTGACGAGAGGATCACGATGATGCCCTTAGTTTGTTCTTATCTTGACTAGTTCGAAAATTATTCGAGAAAAAATCTCCATATCTAGCGCCGCCATTTTGACCTTTTTGACTTCTGTGAGGTCATCTTTGACCTGACCTGAAAATGACCTTTGTAAAAATTGTAGACCTTGTCCGTGCGTATCCGTTGCCGTTTACCACTTGTCGCTATCTTGCTTCCACGGTCATAGATACTACCTTGCTTCGTTCTCGAGATCTCAGGGGGGGGGGGGCGATCATCCGCCCTCCCGTCGGTTCTAAGTCGGTGCGCGGGTTAAACAGCATGTTGATTATTTTGAATCTCTTTTGTAAATGCTACTTTTTAGCCACATCTATTACTTCAACTTACCATCACTTTCTAAGATAAACTGCATTTTTCTACCATTTTGAGCACTAGTAAATTTTCATGCAATAGATTATCCGTAGTTAGCGTTTACAGCGCCACCTATTGATAAGTTTATTAACTAATGTGTAAGCGCTTGGAATCAGTATCGCGGCGTATTGCGGCGCGGAGGTTGTGGTGTGGGAATGCGTGGGATTTGTGAAGGCTGTGTGCGTGCGGCGCAAATTAAAGTTTTAGGAATGATTGTGGTACTCAGGGTTCAAATTTAAGAGTCAAGGTGTTGTTCTCAAGTGCTCGCAAGACCCGGAGACCGGGCAGCAGCGAGAAGAGCAGAGGTAAACGTCTCTTTGTGTATTCCTTTGTGGTATTCAATATGGCCGACGATCAGCTGTTTTCATTGGGTGAAAGGTGAAATTTTGTGTTGTTCGAACCCATTTAATTCATGTTACAATTTTGTTTCAGAAATGGAGCTTCGTGTCGGCAACAAGTATCGATTAGGTCGAAAAATTGGAAGTGGATCATTTGGTGACATTTACTTAGGTAAGTTCCTACCACTACGGGCACTAGGTACTGATTAAATTTAAAGTCATGTTATGATATCAATAACGGATTGACTATTTAATAAGATATGAGGCTCTCTTGTATGCAAAACATTTGTGTAATCTATTTACTAGAAAATATAAGCTTTCCAGAGGGGAATTGTAACATGGATATGGTCACCGAAGTCCTGGGGGGTCCAGGGGCCACCATGCAGCACCTAAAATTGAGAGGATTTTTTGTTTTTTCAAGAATAAAATGCAAACTGAACAATTTTTACAATGGAAAGTTTGTTTTAAACACCACAGCATTGCATAAGGAAGTTCATACCACTAGAATTAAATTATTGGAATTCGGAGAAACTTTTGAGGTATGCCCTTCCCAGTGTCCAAGACTGCCTTTATGGATCAGCCAGTGACTGAAGTCTAAGTTAACCCAACCTGTGACTGTGATACAAAGGAGCAAAAATGCAGGCACTGTTCATTTCTTTCTACCCTGCTGTACACTGGGTGGCTGGTGGTGCTGGGTAGTGCTTGGATAGGTTGATAAATTTTCATGTTTAGGGGATGTGACATTGTTACCTTCATGTTATCCTGTGACAGCTTCGGCATACGTGACTGACTCTGACAAGAACATTTGATGAAGGTACATTGTCTTGCAGCTCTGAATGAAACCATGGCACCCTGTCACAATGCCACATGAAATACTAAACCACTTCTCGAGACTACTCGCTTGAAAAATGATGGACCCTTACCTAACAGGCATTCTTTGACAAACTTACCTTGTAGCTTTATATGGGAGATCAGTGTGGGGTGTTGGGCAGTATCCCAAAATTATATCTTGGCTTAGGTGTCTGTGGGGGGAAATTCCTCACTATGATGAGTTGGACAAGAGTGGAAAATTGCCAGACAGACCACTGACCAGGCACATGAAATAGTGGGAAATGGGTATCATAGAGTCACTTGCAAGAAATAGTGGAAAATGGGTATCATAGAGTCACGTGAAAATGCTGGAGCATGTAGGAGCTGCTTTGCATGGTAATGAAATGAACCAAGGAGGTAAAAGGGAAAATAGGAACACATGCCCTTTGTTGGTTAAATGTTAAACATATCTATATAGATGCTAAGTATGCTTTGAATAGACTGTAAGGCCGGGCTCTCAATTTGGGTATGGTGAGTTTTAATGTGTCCTTTTAAATGTTTTCTATTGAATAGGTTATAGGCTTGCTACTTTGGACATATTTCTGGTGCATTGACTAGCGAGGCCATCCAAAGATTACCAACATGAGTCTACCTGCCTTGGCAATTATCTTACAGCCTGACTTTCGTGCAAGCTGATGGGTATGGTTACCTACCTTATTGTAAAAGCTTCATTATGGACATAAAGGATAATTGGTAATATCACACCAAACATGTTAGATTTGCAAGGAACAAGTGAACAGTGACAACAGTGTAACTTGTAAGCCTATTCACTATTAGCTGGGTCTTCCAGTGCCATGACTATGTGGGCTTATCATCATTCACTTCAAAATATTGACCTTGAAACCTACAATGGCTAGCTGGAGCTTTTCATGTGATGAAAGCTGGTTGATGGAGCCTGTAAATGGCTCCTACTACTGCTCAGATGCATGGCAATAGGCAACTGTTGTGATTTCGCTTTGGAAATAATGTTTTGCAGGTTATTGGAGCCCTTTTTAATGGGTCAAATGCACGTTATGTTGGTATAAAATGTCATGATTTTCAAATCGTCTTTTACCTGGACAGTGGACACTGACATAATAGATATGGTCTCACTCCTTCACAATGGACTTCACACAGAACAATTTTAATTCAGTGATGTAATGCAACCTTGTTTTGATCAAAGGCTCAGATTTTCAGCTAGATAAGATGATTATCTATAGTGACTGATCTCATTGTCTTATGGTAAGCCTCTTCAACTGTGTTTCAGGTACAAATATATCGACTGGGGAGGAGGTCGCCATCAAGCTAGAAAGTCTAAGGACAAAGCATCCACAGCTGTACATCGAATCTAGATTTTATAAAATGCTGCTGGGAGGGGGTAAGTACATGGGATAGGGGCTTGCGGATGTGGTGTCTTGCTTTGTGACCAGGAGAACTGCCTAAACTTAATTATGAAGTAGCTGGACTGGCAGGGGAGCCAGCAGGCGAGCAGTTCGGATGATCTTGATTGAGGTCTGAGGTACAGCTTCGCGGATAAAACGGGCGCGTTGTCCATGACAAAAGGAACTGGAAGCTGATGATTTTAAAAGATTCCTGGACACTGAGCCACGAAGTAGCGACGTGCTTAGACAGTGCAACTGCAGAGGTTCGCTATTGACTTCTTAACCCGTGCCGGCCATGGGATTGTGATTTTTCCGCGGGGCACTCCTTTTCACGCACCTTTTCTGCACATGTTGTGAGAATTTCAGACCCAGGTCGATCAAAATCAGGTCACCAAGGCACATCAAGTGACCTTACCTCAGAAGATGTTTGAATGCTCACTATAGATACACTGATTGAATGATCACTTTTACGCTTTCAGCCATTGATAAGAGAAGAAGTATATGTATAATTTTATATGGAAATTTTGATTTTGGTGACCTAAGGTCAGGTCGATTTTGCGCCCTCTCTATTACGTGTAAGTTAGTGTGAAAAATTGAAATGCGCCTCTTTTGGACGAATGTCATTCTCAACACTCACAAAGATCAAGTTACACGTACAAATGACGCACTGAATAGGAAAATTGCCTCCGTGACCCATCCTTATGATCCTGATTATGATGATGATTATGATAGTACCCAATACCCATCCACTTGTACTATCCGTAGTGCGATATTGCTTGTCCAACTACGGCTCTTGCGGAGCCACGCAAGTGCGAAGGATACAGAAAATTGTTAACTTCTGTGCGCGTGTCGTGACCGGTAGGCGGCGCAACGATCACGTCTCTGATGCCATTGAGCTCCTCGGATGGTTCACGGCTGAGCAGCTTATTGTCTACCATACATTGTGTGCTGTGCGTCGTGTCATCGTGTATGGGGAGCCAGCACACCTATACAGCACCATAGGCCCACGGGCAGCTGAGACTCACCAGCACGACACGCGCCGCGCTGGAAACCGCATGCTGCCGCGCATACGCACCGAGTACGGCCGGCGTAGGCCATGTGTTATACCGTGGCGTCAGACTGCTGAACGAGCACCGCCTGGATCCCACCGCAGCCAATTTCCGATCAGCGATGCGGGAGGTCGTAAGAGCCAATCATGAGTGACTGTTTGTGCATTCTTTCTTAGGAAGGAATCTGACCTTTGACCTGACCTAAAATATGACTGATTTGCTTTCGTCATTTTTTTACATTCTTTCTAATGCCGCTTACTGCGTGTCGCTACTTGGTCCAGGAGCCGAGTTAGAAGTCGGCGCAGTTGGCGTCGAGCACAGCCCCGGTGCGGGTTAAGCCAGTGGCCTAACATGACCAGAACAGGGCTGGCTAATTTCAGCCAGTGCTTCGGTCAACCCTCGCCCGTGCTGGTCCTTTTTGCAGCATCTAAGATATGGGGTGGGTCTCCCAATCGTTGGGCCCTGATCGAACCAGGTTTCGCGAAAAAAGAGTGCATTGTTCGTGACGAGAGTAAGCCGGTGATACCCAATTTTGAGGTCCTATGGCATTTGTTGACCTTCCAGGTCACTGGCCAGCTCAATGACCCTAAAGGCGGGGAAATCGAGACCTGCTAGAATTTTGTAAAGCGAGGTTGTAGGTTGTGATGTTTTTTCCGCGTTCCTGATTGCGAATTTCATTATAGTTCTGATCAAAGATGATATCTTCATGCATTTAGGCGAGATCGGGTCAGGTCAGGTCAACCAGAAGGCGTCCTGTCGGCTATCTATAGTAGGTGTCAGCCACCACTGACAGCTTTGTAACATGTTACATAGGAACCAAAACTAATTATGAAATGTACAGATGGGTGCTAAATGTGGAATCAGCTCCAAAACCTTCCCTAGAATCATGCAAAGCATGTAAAAGTGAACCGAGGTCATCTGAGGTCAATGACCTTCACCTAGCTTCCACGTGACCTTGACACCCGCCATAGCTCATGGGACAAACATGGTTTCACATGTTGGAACGTTTGCAACCACAAAAAGATTAAAAAGTCACGAATAATGTGCGCTGACATACGCCGAAGCGCGATTCCGGTCTGACAGGGTCTCGAGAAATAGGTCACAAAAAAGGTTGACTGGGTCAGGGTCATGACATTTTCAGGGTAGGTGTAAAATTGCTTACGTCAATGGTACTGAAAGTTTCGTTGCGATCAGCCGCTTTTTGCGTGAGTTAATCGCGAAAAAACTGGGGGGGGGGACTTTCGACCCTCGAGAAGTGCCAGAGAGAAGGTACTTTAACCATGGCTTACCGGCCGGTATTAGATAACTTGTCAATACTCAGTTGTGTTTAATCTATTGTTTTGTGAAAACCGGAAGCGATTGGATGAAAAGGACGTGTCTCCTGTGGTCCAAAAGATAATGGAAATTGCTCGCAGAGCCGGTTTGTCTGGGTGCCCTGTGTCATGTGGGCGCCGGTCCCAGGGCATTGGGGGTAAATAGCAGCTCGTGAATCGGCGGGGGACCACGTGGCCCGCCAGCGGGCCAGACCGGTGCGCGCCGCCCGATCCCGTTACGTTGACACCAGCTGCGCGTCGGAACGATGGAGCCAAGGTCACGGCTGCCTGCTGTCCACGTCACACGAGTTCAGCCAAACTTGCCGTGCCAGGGGCGGTGCTTGCTGGCTATTTTTAGGTGCGGCATGCACCCGTCTCAGAAGAGTACAAATATGATGGTAGCCGAGCTCTCAACTTTGCTCATTATGGGTTCCTGGCAGACGTCATTTCGGTTGTGTGTATTCCTGCCAGTATGAGAAGCGATCTGACTGTGAGATTTGTGTTGCCTTTGTTTGACGTGCTGTGCCTAATATGACCGTCTTTTAGAATTGAAATGCTGTATGCTTGTTTGAGGCTGAGCTTTCGTCGACATACCCGTATTTTTACTACTTTTTTATTTTTTATCTCGCTGTTTCTTTCCCGTTCATTTCCTGACTTTTCAGTGTCATTTTTCGTAATTCCCTCTCATGATCTACTGTATGCTCCCCTTCTTTCTAATTTCATATTCCTCATTCCTCTTCACTCACTATTTTCCCTCTATTCCCTCATCCCATCCACCCTCCCCTCTCTCTTCCCTTGCCGCAGCTCTGACGCAAACTATTCTCGTCCACCGACAGTGGGGATACCGGTGGTCAAATGGTACGGAACAGAGGGCGACTACAACGTGATGGTCATGGAACTGCTTGGGCCCAGTCTAGAGGACCTCTTCACATTCTGCTCTAGGAAATTCTCACTGAAGACGGTGCTCCTCCTGGCGGATCAGATGGTGAGTGTTGAATAACACCTTGTTTGGGTGTAACCCGTACACTGCTGACACCGTGTGTGGGTGTAACCCGTGCACTGCTGACACCGTGTGTGGGTGTAACCCGTGCACTGCTGACACCCTGTGCATGGGTGTAACCTGCGTGCACTGCTGACACCCCAGCATAGGGTTACCTGTGCGCAGCCGACTCCCTGTCAGGGTGTAATATGTGCACTGTGTAGTGTGCAGTAGGGTGTAACAGTGACTAACACTCGCAGTGCTCACAGCAGACACACTCGCTATGGGTGACCTGTGTAGTGAGCACAGCCGATCTGATTGCAGGATATTGTATCGTAGTGGAATAGCTGACCATTGACGCGAAACTGCAATATGTCTGAATTATTTTAGTCACGAGTTGTAAACGCTACTCGCCGTCACGACATGAAATCTCGATTCGACTGACAACAAGCTTCTAGGACATTGTCCACACATTGCTTTAGCATTAATATGCGTGCTAGCTATCTTCGGGAAATGTCAAGCCAATACGCAGTGCTTATTCTGGTAACTGGTGTGATACGTGCAATGCATTAGATTACGGTAGTCGGTAATGCTGGTGAGACGATTTGGTCTTGATGGTCATATTCTTTTGCTGCTTTCCAAGGAATTAAACCGTGTTTTTTTTTTGTCCGAACCTCCAACATGCTATATCATCTTTCTTGGATAAATGTCCCGTTTTGTGGGCAATGGGCATGAAATAATGCTACATTTGCAGTCAATATTGATACCGATCGCGCTGCTTTGCGCTGATAGTCCCACACCAGCTTGGCGTTGACATTTCTCGGCCCGTCAGTCGAGTGCCCACTGCCCAGCCTCCTCAGGGCGGGGCCGCGGCAGCGCACGGTGTCCGCCACTGCACGCCCCCTCGCCCCTCGCCCCTCCCCGGTGCGCGGGCTGTCGATGAGTCACTGAGGGTCGCTGTCCGCCGTGCGCCGGCTCTGGCTGAGCCCCGGTAGCGGCGGCGCCCGCCCGCGCACTATCTGAGCGATACTGACACGGATCTGCCAAAGATCTGCGAGCTCCGGTCGCCTCGGTGGTCGGCAGTGTCCGGTTTGATCTCTGGGAACGCACTAGGATGGTTTGTTTTCGAGACTGCTAGGTTCGCCACAATCATTTTTTTTCAGCAGTATTCTTGTTGAGCGTTCGTATATCAAGTCTCAACAGATCAGCATTAGAAGGAAAATCTGACACTTATTTTGCCGCATGGCATCATTAGAAAGCGAATCACGCAGGACTGCGACGTATCTATTTTATTTTAAATGAAACCGTTTTCAGGCTCTCTTATTACCTCGATTTCCTCATTAACGAACCTCTGAGCTCGATGGTGCATGACTTTTATCTAATTGGTGCCACGATGCTTCAGGAGTCCTCATGATATCTTTTTTTTTGTGCGGAACAATCATTGGTGGCTGGTGTCTATTTCTCCGTTGAGTTATTTTCAGACCTGTGTCAGTACGCTTTGCGTTCCTTCATAATCAGTGTCGTCCCCACCTCAGGATACGGAACGGAGCCTGGACACTAGATTTGCCCTCGCCGACTGGTAGCGAGGCTCTGTGTCTCCCACAGCCATAGGATAGGGCCTTGCCACGACCCACCTTAGCTCACGGCCACCGGCCGCCGACGGTCCACCCCCGCGGCCGGCGGCGCTCAGCTGATGGGTGACGTCACCAGGCTGCCGGTGACGTCATTCGTACCGTGGTCGGTCCGAACTGGGCCAGGTGATGAGACGGATGGACTGACTGGCCAGGAGCGGAGAGGCAGTGGCGTGGCTGGCGCAACTGTGATAACATTACGGCCATGTCCGATGTCCCAGCTTAATTTTCAGTACTTCTGCGCACCAGTCGGGCCCCAAAGTAGCGGTGACAAGTTGCTATGCAGTGCCGACAAGGTAGTGGTGAATTGGTGAGACGGTTTACTGGATAACTGGTTACTACTAACTACCTACAATGTCAATTGTTATGAATCATTAACTATCTCTATCATGAGCCATCTAGTCCCTAGAACTATCTTCAACAATGGCCTGGCGCAGTTTAAATGTTAAATCCCCTTATCTAAGACACTGATACTGTGTCTTTGTACTAAGCTGATTGTATATCCTTTAGCTCAAACAATGTATATCCTTTAGCTCAAACAATGTATATCCTTTAGCTCAAACAATGAGCGTTGGACTGACGGTGGTAATACTGCGAGTTCGGGCTCGACACGCCTCCACGCTCGGCTTTGTCACACATGATACTTCTGGTACCAATGGCCCGCGCCGGTGCACAATCATATCCAGCATGATCTAGCAGGATATCTTGAGCGTGCTCTTCCTGACCGCCGCAGAGGAAGGTAGCGGCGTGAACGGCTGATCGTCTGCCTGACCCGGCTCGTTTGGAGAGGGGTGGGGAGTGGAGGAGAGGGGTGCTGCCCCAGCGGCAGGCGGGCCGCCCCGATAGTGACCTGGTTAGGGAGGATAGCCGTCCCTGACAGAGGGTCTGCTCGCTTTCGGTTAGGTTCTGCCGGATGCCGGACGTGGTATGTGATATGTCATTTGATGATGCGAGGTCCGGACAAACTGAACTAGTGAACAACACGTAATCGCTTTGCTGTTATTATAGCTCATTGGATCCACACAGCGACTACCTTCCAAAGTATCTCTGGATTTCAATGAATTGTGGGAGCGGACAGTGGAAATTGAACAGTCCAGCATTGCCTCCGAAGAGTACGGAAAGATGTCGATTTATCACGGCCTTGCCAAGTGTATCGGGTTGATACAGCCCGTGGTCCGACGGACGCATAGCCGGACGGTGTTCACTGTCCATGACTCCACCCGGCTAGACGGCGTGCCTGGCGGCCAGTGTCCCGCCTCTGACAGACTGCTGACCCTCGGGCCGGACGAGCAGACACAACAAACAGGGCACTGTCCGTCGGCCCGGCGCCGCGGGCCGGTCTCAGCTGCTCGGGGGGGGGGGGGGGGGGAGGACGGAGCCGTGGACCCAAGCGGTGCTGTTAGGTCTGGAACGCCGGACGGAGGACGAAGGGTACTGCATGGGAGAGACTATTGTTTGGGATCTTGAGGGCCATATGTGACGGCGCGCAAAGACCCAGGCAATGGATGGAGTGGAACAGGAATGTTCGAAGGTCGGGAGTATATGACTTACTTGGCCCATACTCGTATTCAGCCGAAACTTGGCGGTATGGTATGAATTTCAGTCGTATTTTTATAAAACATGGCGTCATACAGAATGCAGCTGAAAATGGTGGTGGGGACGTTTGTTGTCAACATACCCACAGCTGACAGCTGAGTCATTTCTTATGACCTTTAGCCACTACCCAGTACCACAGGCCACAGCTGTGCTTGTTTTGAGCCTTGATGTACTTTTACTGTGCAGCTCTGCTCATTCCGGTGAGCTGAGTCAGTTTTGTCGGACTGTTAGCTCTATGCGTGGCTGAAGGTAACCATACACCGCACCCAGGTCCGTGCTGGATTGTGGGGTGTGGCACACCGACACGCACATTGGGCGCTCGGTCAGCACGGGCGTAGCCTGTTGTGCCCGGTCATTTCGGGTCTAGTGTGTGCGGATTGATGGAATCATAGAGGCTTCAACAACCACGCTCAGTGATTAGCTGGGTGAGATGAACTCCATCTGCTGCGTGCCAGTTACAGATGTCATCCAGTTTACAGCGGTAACCTTTTACGCTTACTTTCTTATGTATTTATATGATTTAACATACCACTCCCGGATCCTTTTTGGCCACTCATCGGCGCTCCAGAAATGCTGCGATCGCTGCCAGCGGTGCTCCTGCAGTGAGCTATCCACTGTGCGTGTCTTCCAATACCGGGAAGCCAGTTCTGCCCACTGACGACATCGTGACGTCAAAGTGATTCCGTTGGTGATGCATACCTCCACTGAGTCTTCTGAGTCTCTCGGTGATCTGCGGGTAGCTTTGCACTGACTGGACGTATCAGCGAATAATCTTAGCGCTGTTTGGCAACCGGCCTGCGCTAGGCCGCCGGCCGGCGCGGCCCCGAGTTGAGGTGTTGATCAGCTGACATCAATGTCATCGGCCGAGAACACATTTGGTGTCTCTTGAGCTGTGAGTTTTATCCTTTGCGCAATCAGGGCACGTTACGGAGGAGCTGAGAGGCCGAGACAGAGAGAAGGGCTAGTGAAGTCCGTTTTCGGTCCGGAGTAAAGCTGATGCATGTCGCGGTATCGGGGGCACTCAGTGTTCGGTCGCTGTGGACTCGGTCGGCCTTGTATGGCAGTTCGGCAGCAGACTCGGTGCTGGAACGGCCACTACGTCACAGCTAACATAATCGCGGTACGGGATGGAGGTGGTAAAGTCGGTCAGACCAAATGGGGTCTGGAAAGAGAAAGTCCTCTTCGCTGCAGCGGTACTGGGATTTCAATGCGGCGAGGACTGATAGACAAGGAGGGAAATGTCCTGATTGCTAGGAAAGTGAAAATGCGTCACTCTCTGAACAGACACTGGTCCGGAATGACGACTAAAACTGGGTAAAACTGACCGCGTGGTTCTGACAATTCCGCTGCAAGTCTCTCTGTCTTCCACTCTCAAATCTTCTGCTCTGATTTACTAACCCGCTCCGCTCCGTTGCCGCGGGGCAGACGGCGCTCCCCCTGACCCACTGACCACGAGCCGGCCGAGTCGGTCGTACGGCCTCTGACCGACATGGGCGCCGCGTCGGTACCGTTGGCGCAGCTCCCGACGACGACCGACTCTCGGAACCGGACCTTCCGCTCAGTGCCAAATGTCAGCGGCTCGTAGGAGCGTGCCTGCGCCGGCTGACGTGGGCGGTGGAGCCGGGGCGTCATTGACGCCGTGTCACTCGGTGTGTGGATGAACTGGTGTGGGAACGTGTTGCGACACGTGGTCTTCCCCTGTTCTTTTCCGTATGGTGTTGGCTGGAAAGTCGAGCTAACGTTTATCCTGGCCGGTAATGATCATTTTGGAGCACCGCT